TTTTTTTTTTTTTTTTTCCGTTTTTGATTACGACTTTTGGGCGGTACCGGTCGTTGCAAGGTGGGTGCCCCTCCCGACGCGGCGCGTATACGGGAAGCGCCGCATCCGATAGCTGGGCCAGGTACTGGTGGTTTAATAGGCGCTGGACTTTCCATGGGATTTCCCTTCTTCCTGTGGGAATAGTTGGCGCTGAAATGATCATGTCTTGATTTCTGTTTTCCTAATTGAAAAAATCCTCCAAGGTTTTGGAGTTGAAGGCAGGGGGTAGTGGAGCTGTGACAGTGGGAGATGACGCACTGTGCGGCGAAGAGGCTAGCCTGTAGGGTTGAATAGGGTATAGCAGCGGTGAAGATGGTGGCTTCACCGTAGTAAGACTTGCCGGAGTAGGGTTGAGAAGGTTTTGTTGGGGGATATTTGTAAGGTGAATGATGGAATCTACAACTATGGTGCTGGCTGGTAGCTTGACTGGTATTTGCCTTAGTCCTGAGTCCCGGTGGTTTGCAAATAGACGAGGCCAGAACGATGCTGGTCGGTGCTGGGGTTTGGTTGCGCTGCCCTGTAACTCAAGCGGTATGAGGGTATGAGACCTGGTAGAGAGATCTGGGGAGTTGTTGAGGGTGGAAGGCACTCCAGTGTCTTTTCGTGAGCTGGTGCCTAGCCGATGCTGGCCGGAGCTGGGGCGGGTTGCTTTGCCCTGTGGCCCAGCAGGTGGGGGGTTTCTGGGGTGGGTCATGCCACCCTGTAACCTAGCAGTTGGGGGCATGAGGCCTGGTAGAGATTGGGCATCGGGATATAGGGGTGAGGCAGGTAGGTTGGGTTGCAGAAAGGCTCTAAAGTAGGTGGTTCTTTCGTTCTGAATGCTCTTTTGATCCGAGCTTTGGAGGCTAGAAAATTTTTAGTGTTCTTGTACACAGTTGTCCTTCTTAGCCGAAGCTGGGTAATGGCCCCGGTACCTCAAGGATTTTCCCATAAATTTCTCATTTTGTCAATATGATCTTGAATGGGACGCTGGGCGTGGTTCCCAGCACGTGCTGCTCCCCACGAATAGATTGGAGCATGTTCCCCCCCCAAAAAAAAAAAGAAAAGAAAAAAAGATAGGTATAGCCTATTCATTTGAGAAACAGATGGGTGTATTCCAATTCAAAAACTTGGCACACTGCCTAGAGCAACTGGTCATTTCGAATTTCCGAAAGAAAAAAAAAAAACTTCCAGTTAATGGTGCTAATTTTGCTAAATCTTCTACAGAACAAGATGGTGGGTTAATTACAGTTATTTCAAAACAGGCGGATTTTCCCAGAACAGATGATGTGTCACTGCAAAACAGATGGGCTCCTTCTCAACACAGGTGCTAGACTTTTAGTAGTACACACAGTCTTGGTTGCCACATTGTCACGTCTGTTAGATTCCATATGAGTTGGGCCTAACACCGTTGGCCCGCCTGAGAATGCAACAGCACAGGTTGTCATTGAATAAGCCATGATGATCACCCCTCTTCGCACAAAGGCAAGTGTGGGGAAGGATCGAGTTCCTCCTGCTGTTCACCGGCACGACCCAGTGGGCACGCAGGCAGGCAGGCAGAGGTAGACAGGAGGGCAGGTATGTAGACAGGTGAGCAAGGTCGGGGTTCAAAAAAGCAGCATACAGGGGGAGGGGAA